TTCTGGGAGAACCCTCCGGTTGATGACAATTCTGAGCTGGCAAATCTTGTCCGCATCTATCAATACAAGAAAACTGTTCTAGACTGCAGTTATAGCAACAGTGTCACAAAGGAGGTGTTTGATAAGCAATGGAAGGAACTCACAGCAATTTTTACAGGTGTTGGAGTTCCTGTTGAAGACATTGAGAATTACCGCGACCCTTGGCATTACAAGGATGGAGCTTTGGAAGGTAAGTAACTAGTCTTATTAATAATAGCTGCTGCTGCTGTTAATGCTGATTTTGCTGTTGATGCTGAGTCTACTGCTACTCAAGCTGATTCTGCTGCTGATATTTCTGATGAAGATGCTGCTGCTGATACTGAGTCTACTTCAGCCGATTCTGATTCTATTGCTGATGCTGATTCTGCTGTTGTTGATGGATCTACTGATACTGATTTTGTTGATGTTGCTGATGCTTATTAGTATTAAATAATAATAGTTAGGTTTGTAAAGCTATCATGCAAACAAGCCTCTATGTGATTGGTGATTGAGCCAGTTGAGACGCCAATATTTCCCAGATCGGGGGTCCAAAGTCCCTGATAAGAACAAATTTGGTGTTGCTAAAAACCTTTCAAAACCGGTCCAAGGGCAAAAATATGACTATCATTTAGATGTTTTAAAGCCTTATTTAATCAATTTTAGAGTTTATTAATATGTAGAAAATACATAATATTTTTTTCCCGATAATTTGTGATTTTTCTCCACAACGCCAAAAGATCGGACGCAGTTTATAACGTTGTACCTATGACACTATTATGATCTTGTACTGCACTTAAATCAGCTAAAAACTAATGTCGCTGCCACTGATGACAGTGATTCTGAGTGTGATGCTGATTCTATTGCTGATGATGCTGATTATTTTGCTGCTAATACTGATTCTGCTAGTATTGATTTTGTTGCTGATGGTAGTGATATGCAATAACATCTAAATGAAATTCGTGTAATAAAGGCATAATTGTAAATGTGACAAATTTAATATACTTACTCTTCCAAATTATTTTAATTTTCCATTTCGTTATTGACCAGAAATAGGTATTGGGCACACTGTCATTGAAGAAATCAAGAATTTCCAGGCTGTGTTATCGGCTGTTGTTGATGTTGGAACTGCAACCATGAGAAATTACATATTGGAGGTTAACAAGATTAACAAGAACGATGTAGGAAATTATCTACTGTCCGAGAAGAGTAAAGGTAGTTTTAAAAATGTATGGAAAAATATCAGTAAAGAGCAGAAGTCAAAAATGTTCACAGCATCTGCTGACATTGATACATTTGATATCTCCATCATGTATTTAATCATTCGTAACTGCTCCAATGGCATTCCAGAGTCTTTTTGGAAAAACCCTCATAGACTGACTAACTTGGTGGACATCCACAACTACAGGAACACAAAGCTGGCACATTCCCCCGACAGTAGAATGTCAACTAAAGAATTTGAAATTGAATGGAAGAAAGTGAGATCGATGTTGCATGCTGCAGGTGCTTCTTTGACTGACATTGACAAATATAAGGCACTAAGATTCATCAACTAAATGCATAATTCTACCTATGTATTTAAATGTTGCTTGGAAATATGAATTCTTGTATGTTCATTAAATTTCTGATAACTCGCATGAAATGTGAACATTTTAGCACTGGACAAAATTTCTGATTTTGAACTTGATGGGTTTAAGAGCATTACATTTTGGTGACTAGGGATTTAATATATCAAATATACATAATATTGTTTAAATTACTTAAAACTGTAAATGTATTTTTTAACTTTTTTGTTTTAATATGAACTGTTGTATCAGCAGCACTTAATGCTGATGCTGTTTAATTTTAATAATATTGGTACTCTTATATTGCGCATATTGTTAAGCATTCTATGGGCTTCCCATTATCATTTAATACCCCGGCCATTGGATGAAACGCCTATGGAACAAGCTTCCTAGGTGAGTATTCCATTGTTGTAGCAGCAACATCAGTGTATTTGGCATTTAACTCTACCAGGTGCCCACTTATACTCCTGTGTGGAGAGAAGCAATGGAGATAAAATGCCTTGCCAAGAACGCAAGTGGAATACACAGCGAGCGGGGTTGAAACCCCAACCATGAGGCTGGGAAACTAAATTGTTCCCGCTGCACCACACCACTTACGTTTAGTGTATAATAAGTCTTTGTACAATATTAATAAAAATGTAGGTTTTGAACAATCAAGCTTAATACAGTATTTTCCACGGGATAAATAAAAAACAAATGAATCTGTAGACATTTTTCAAATCATGGTTGTTTTCAAGTGCTATATATTCACATTATAGATACAGATTAAGTAGGTTTCAAGAAGAAACTAGACATTCACCAAGGAATTTAGACCCTTTAAATCAGGGATGGGCATAGAAATCGGTCGGAGGGCCAAAGTGAATTTTTGATTTAACACTGAGGGCTGCACACAAACTTTGATGTTTCCAGTGAGCTTCCAAAACCTCCCAGCACTGCTTTTACACAACTTTATTCTCAGACTTAATGTTACTTTTTACATATGCTCGGTGTCGGGCCGTAAAAAAAGGGTGTTTTCTAGCCAATTTTGCTTGGCGGGCCGCAAACATAGGGTTCTTAATTCATTGTTGCGGGCCGCACTTTTCCCATCTGTGCTTTACAGTAAATGATGTTTACCGTCACAAACCACAGAATTTAAGAAGTGATTGATACGATAGAGGGGATACATTTTTATGGCACACACTGTAACAAAAATGTTGATGGAACAAGATATTGATGCATATAAGAACATTTGTATGTAAGCAGTATGGTGTACTGATAATCCTTTTGAAATTTTGTGTGCGCTCCATTGTCATTTGTACATTTTAGCACAATTTTTTGTAAAAACCACCATTTGGTTGAAGCAGTGTATCATCCTGAAATATAAATTGTATTGTACCCTTTATTAATTATATAAACATACCATTGACATATATGTAATTATTACTGAATTTTAACTTTAAAAGTCATTTATTATAAGTTAAGAACTTGTATATATACATATACACTTAAATATACAGATAAAGCAATTCAAATATATTTTGATTTGTCATCTCTTTGAATCAAGATTTATTTATTGAAATTTAATTTTTTAATTTGTTAGCATGCCAGACAGTGCATCTTTAATGTACAGTATACATTTCTTTTCTATCTACAAAGTTTACTTTATAGCTGCAAGTGAAGTTGTACATATATTTACAATGTGAAGTTATTGAATGGATGTTAAATTTTTAGGTATCATTTTTTGTGTGTTCTTTAAATAGAAACTATTCTGATCAACTGGAAACAAACCATGCAAAAAACTCTTTTCATAGAGGGTGATACTTCCAGCTTATCGTAGAAAGCTTGCTAATATTTAGCGCCCTCTTAAATATTTGAAATAATGAAATATTGTAAATGTGATATACGAAGCTTAAGCTGAGCACTCACTGTGTCATACGTTGGTCGTACAACAAATCCAACTCCTCTCCTTTAAGCTCTAGACGACACGACACCTGATTGCCAGTGTGATTGAGAATGGATCATAATAAAAAGCAAATTGTTGCGCGTACATCATGGCGCTGCATTCTCTATAGAATTGCGTCGCCGACAACCGTGGGGCACGGTGAGTGTCCAGCTTTTGGCTATGTTCAGACACTATGATAACGTTAATCGAGTGATGTTAATTTGTGCACGGTGTGGTGAATACCAGTATTATCGCACAATCACTGGCGTACGGTAATCCACCAACATACCCAGATTAGCGTACACCACTGAGTTACGGCAGTCACGCATCAGTGATTTTGAACCCGGTCAGGATTTGACCCACAATGAATTTCGAACTGATCTTCCACTATATTGGGAAGCTGCTCTATATTCTGCAATTTATTATCTTTTGTAGGATGTGCTGTTTTAAATATTTCTAATGTACACTGGGTTAAAACAATTTTTAATATTTTTATAATGTTTTTTGTTTGTAACTTTTTATCAATATTAAGTCATTTGTTTTACTTTGTATAAAAGCATTGTACAGTAATTTTTTTTGGATAAATAAATATTAGTTTGACATCAAAGATGTTTTTGTCATGCGATGAATTGCTGTGCTGTAAATTTATTTCAACCTAGACCCAGGGATTTGAAAGCAGACATGTTAAGTTACATCGGGTTTGAGTCACGCCAGAAACACATTCTTGAATAATCATCTTTCCTTAATACATTCAGAACATTATTTCTCCTCATATTTTAGCATATATTTAGTGTATAATTATTGGCAAGCTTATCTTGCGAGATAATTGTATAACATTCATTCTGAAGGTATTCATTGTTGATTTAGTTGTGAGCAACATTTTCT